AGCGTCGTGGCGTTGTAATCGTTGTAATCGTTGTAATCGTTGTAATCGTTGTATAACGATTTTGTTTTTTAACGCTAATTAATGCATTAGTCTCGGCTGTCCTAAGACGCAATTTCTTTTAAAACGATGGGAAATAAGATTTTGACGGCTGACGAAAGTATAGAGAAGCCCGAAACGTCATTCGTTATTGAAAATACAACGAAATCCCAATATTGTCGTATTGTTCGTTATTTGTTTGATATACGCGATTGCTAATATCGTTGGTAATAATAATACATATGACATATAATGTCGTATGTAATATAATTTTCATAATTTCGTACGCTTAACGTTTGTTGTAGAAATCATGACTCTTGTGCCATTACTTTTCTCCGATTGGTGGCAAGACCTGGAGCGCCCGCATTATCTATTGGACCAGAATTTCGGTCTTGGATTGTCACCCGAGCAATTAATACCATCCAACGCTTATGATCAATATTATTCTCCTTCTCTTTATGGTAGAAGACGCAATCCATTGACGTATTATAGACCATGGGGTGAGCTAATGCGGCAGATGGAAGGTGGTGGCACTTCGACCATAAAAAATGACAAGGATAAGTTTGAAGTGATTTTGGATGTTCAGCAGTTCAAGCCTAACGAGATCACTGTCAAGGTTGTGGACAAATTTGTCGTTGTCGAAGGTAAGTAATTTAGGTGTTGGAGGATTGTGTTTGGAGTAGAAGTGGAAATATAAGGCAATGTTGTGCGTTTAATGTGGACAATTGGCGCGACGATGTATGACAACATTAAGTTATTTGAATTGTATAAGTTTTTACATAGATAATAATAGATAATAATTGACGTGGTTAATGAGGTTATAATCGAGCCTTGAATGTCACAAGACAATTTCAATGACTAAATTGATAATTGATGTTGTAGGTGAGCATAAGGAGCAAAAGGACCAACATGGCACCGTCTCTCGACAATTTGTTCGTAAATACATGATCCCGGAGCAGTGTAATATCGATCAGGTTACATCGACTCTGTCGTCCGATGGTGTTTTAAGCATTATAGCTCCGAGAAAAGAAGAGGCACTACCGAGCAATCAGAAAATTATAAACATTCAGCATACGGGAAAGCCAGCTGTTCAAGCGAAGAAAGAATCTGCTGAGAACAAGGTCGATAAGAAACCGTGAAACAAGTAAAAAGAAAAATGATGGAAAAATAGCATCGAAATACATCGTTGAATTAAATTAATAAATTTTAAAGCGCCCATTAGTATATAAAATTTGTATTTTAAATATTAGTATCCGTTTAATGATATATATATATATATGTATTGTCTGAAGTAAATTGTCTGTAGAGCAATGTTCTACGATTAAATAATGAGAATTATTTTTAAACATTAAATTGTAACATCGTTGATCGAATAATAATCGAGTAAAAATAATGGCCTCTTTTCATTTCCATGCCCAGAGAGTCCTATCGTTCTATTTTGACTTGCATGCTTTTATCGAGAGAACAATATTTATACGAAATTTCACAAAGACCCTTATTGCTTTGTAATACAAGTTTTTGTGTAAATTATTTTGGCCAAAGGCAGGGAAAAAAAAAAGGAAATTCTACATTTCAAATACTAAAAACGAGCTTGAAATATTAAATGTTAAATCAAATATCGAATATATTCAAAGTCTCGTGCTTGCTGAGGTAAACGACGAGAGAAAAAGCAATGTAATGGATAGTTAGCCAAGAATCAAGAATTGACGTAACAATTACGTGTAAATCAACAAATTTTACAAAAGTCAAACGGAATATTTTTTTTTTTTTATCAAAATTCAACGATCGAAGAATTATAAATGTTTTCTCTTTATTGAAAATTTAAATATTTAATTATAATACAATTTAGTTTGCAGGTATTTCGGTTAAGAGCATTTATAATTACAGGAATAGTATCTTACAAGTATTTAAAAAATTATCTTTTGCAAATAAGATAGAATCAATTCGACATACGATAAATGTTATTTAATTATAACAATGTAAAGCTCAATATCAGCTATCTTTAAGAACTTCTTTTAATATCGATCCCGTGTTTCTGGCTGGAACAAAGTCCGGGAACGTTGGGAGCGTGACATTCGACAGCAACAGTGTCGATTGAGTCGAGGAAGATGAGTGTTGCCTACTATGAGCCGGTCTACCGATAGCCTAAATAATATTTAAACGTATATTAATATAATTTTTCATGGCTCTGCTACGAGATGGCTAATATGAGCAATGTCTAACCGAATTTGATATTGGTAAAGCTGGCAATTGTGGTTTTGGCTGGGACTCGCTCTCTAAAAATTTAACAAATGCCGATGATAACGATGTGTCCTGTCCCTGAAAATAGTAAATCGATGTTTATTGCGATATAACGAATCGATTGTAAGAGTTATGAAAATAGTATTATTGCTGAGTTAAGAGCAAGATATCGAGAGATTTCAATGAAAGACAAACCTTATTGGAAGTGGAAGGGCTATTATTGGTTACTGCTGAGAACCATCCATTTTTAACGGTAGCACCATTTAGGCCACAATTTCCACGTTCTGTTTCGTTAAAGTCAAGAACATTGGCAAATACACGCAGAACCGATATTTTGTCGTTCGATGGTGATGATATATAACCGAGCAATAAATTTTTAACAAGCGATCTGAAACAAAGGTACAATGAAATTGTAGAGTAGAGCGCTGTAAAGTAGCTGTCACTTTTTTAAGAATATTTATAATCACCTGTCTACTTTTCCTTCGCCGCTCTTATTTGCACTCTCGATTCTTTGATCAGCCGTGTTCACAAGCTCGGTTAATCTATTTACTGAAAAGAAAAGACAAAGAAGAAAGAAAGAATTACTATTAGATTCTTTTAACATATACATTAAAATGCACGTTACAGATACAAATATATGGTATTATTTTTTGGTTCTTTTTCATTGTTCTTTGTTTATATAATTGTTTGAATTAGCCATGATATACAAATTACGCACAACATAGACAAGTAAATTATCAAGTCTTACTTAATACTAAACGATACAAGTTTATGCGTCTACATCCTAATGCTACAATTATAAAGACACGTTTCAGTGAATGTAAAAGTAAAATTTAAGTTAAACGTTATATCAATAGATATAATAATAATTTAAGCATTGTATATACAAAAAATGCCGGCACATTTCATGAATTGAATTCAAATTTCATTTGAAAAGAAGCCAAACAGTAGCCATCGTTAAACTATAATAATAGGCTTTGAAATCAAATTGTCAACGATCCACTTGAATATTAAAACACGATAATAAAAATTTAATTAGCCACATGCACGTTGAACATTATTCACAAATACTCATTGGGTTTTCAGTTTATCAGCCACGCATTTTATAATTAGATACTTCACAGAAATGCTTCCTTATAATACCACTCTTAACGTATGCTATAAATGTTCTATATAGGTTATAAATACAAAACTTTTCTACCAACATAGTACAAGTCAGCTAACATTCTTAATAAATTACTGCTAAAAGTTGCACAATTACTCCGTACATTAGATACATTTACATTTTGGCGTCGTGGATTTTCTCATTCGGCATAACAGACGGGTTGATTGTCAAGAAACGAATGCAAGTATAACACAAGTACTGGTCGCTGAAAAAGACACCAGTACCTGATGTAATACTCACACCCATCTCTTCGTTATAATTATAATAATTATTATTCATTTAATTATTTAGTTTTGCTTGTTTGGTACTTTGGTTCATGCTGCATTCATTACGGTTTAGTTTCATGCCACATCAATTGCAACACTAACAATCAGTCTGACTTATTATGTTTTGACATTGTTATATCATTGTAATCACATTAGACAGATTATTGCTACGTTATGTTGAAATAATTTTTAAAATAGTACGATCGAAACTGTCGTTTATGTAACCGAGACAATAGGGAATGTGGTCAATATATATATATATATATATATATATATGCTGTGCGATTGAATTATTTTCTTTAGAAAATATGAACATTTTTAGGCGCAAGGATTATATTGGGGTAAATCAGCACGAGTAATTGATTGTGAATCGATAATATTTCCATCGATTGAAATTGATGACGAAAAAGGAATCTGACGAAACTACTGGGAAAATATGGGACAATTAATGTTTAAAAAATATAGGCTGAAGCTTCGATATTACGTGATGTAAACAAGCATCTTTTACAAACTGAACCTTCTCATTGATTTACTTTTATTATTATTTTTCCTTTCATTTTTCCAATTCCAATGTACAGTTACTTTACTTCAAGCGCCAGATAAACGAATAATATAAATGATAAAATTAAAGAATAAAATTTAACGCTCAAACGAATCGCTTCTCTCCGTCGCTATAGCTTTTTCAGTTTATAATAGATGTTTATTCATCAATGAATAACTACATTTAAATAATTGTGCATTCAACGGCAAAACTAAGATAGAAATATAATATTTCGATAAAACCACTACATTACTGTTGTGCCGCAACTGCATACATTAAAGTGACAATTTGCATTAGTATTCAACGGTATCAACGGTAATAACAAAATGTAAACAAAAATTCACAAACAATCAATGATAAGAGGGTAGAAAACTAAATGTAAAAAATTGTATCAGCAGCGCATTATTTATAAGACTTAAAAATCTCGTAGAACAGCGGTAGTGAGTGGGAAACCCCACGAGGTAATATGAGCTGAAGTTTTTCATACGCTCACAGTTACCGCATGAGATTACCTACTCAGACACTACCAAAATCGTCCTACTACTTCATTTTTATACTTTGCTATCTTTCCTTTATTAGACGTCACTGGGCCCAAGGTAATTTCGTGTTCGTTTATAATCCTCCGTGTATTCTCGTATTTTCTCAACCCAACTAATCACAATTGTAAGTAACAATTCGCTTTTTAATTTTGAATTCTCAAGAGGAAAATTGACATAAAAATTTGCTGGACCAATGATTACTGCAATAGCGTTGTGGTCAATCTTTTCACTCTCAAATGCGCTATCCTTTCGTGTTAAAAGTCTCAACAAAATATGCATTAAATTAAAACAGTGTACATAGAAAATGCCAACAATGTAGCCTTTAAAATTAATAAATTAAATTAAGTACTTTTAACGCGGCATCAATCGCATCGTTCATTTGCATTTGGAGGGAAAAGGAGAGAGAGAGAGAGAGAGAGACAGAGAGAGAGAGAGGGAGAGAGATAAAAAGTTATGCTAATTATGAGTTTTGTGACGCTTTATTCCTTCAAATCGGTCGTTTTTAACTCTGAGATGAGATAATCTAACATAAATTACAATTTATATCTCATTATTATTATCATTATTATCATTGTTACCATTGTTATTATCATTATATTTTAAGATTTACATTAGTTTTCTTTCGATATTCCATAGCAAATCCATAGAATTAGAAGAAAACACAAAAAAAAAAAAAAAAAAAGAAAGAAAAAAAAAATTATTGCGTTTTTTTGCACTCCGTATTAAATAGAGCGAAAAAAAATCTAAAAATTGAAGGAGAACCAACACCGACGAAATGACAGAATGGGTGAATATGCTTTTATTTTTATTTTTTATTTCATTCATGTTTATTTTAGTGAAGTGCAATAGGCAGGCGATAAACCAGTTCATAACCGGATACCAGCAAGAATCCTGGGCTGCATAACAAAAATCCCAGAATTACCAGCTGATATTTGATTATGAAACTAGACAGCGGTGTGTGTTTGTATTTGTGCTTTCCGCATAAATTTACTTATATTCTTTTTTCAAACTTTTGATCGTCTCGCATGATATTCTGTTTAATAACCGCAACATTTTGTTTGTTTGTTTTTTTTTATGCCTCTGTAGATTAGTCACATAACGCAGCCTCAGAAAACGAGAAAATAAAGAAAGAAAGAATAAAAAAAAAAAAAAAGATGAATAATAAAAAAGATATTACTCAGTCTATAATTAGCGTGACCAATCCCGAGTGCGTGTGTTGAATTTCGCTGATCTTAAATGATTTTCTTGAAAAACAAAACAAAAAAAAAACAAAAACAAAAACAAAACAAAAACAACAAAAAACAAAAGTGCAATAATAATAATAAGAAGAAAACAGTCACACAGCATTGAAGATAATAGTTTGGAAACAATTGTTTTCAGAACAGAATGCATGATATATGTAAGAAATTTTTGCTTTAGTATTATAAAATTACTAAAGAATTTTCTAGAGCTTTATTATCCTTTGTTTGTCCTTATTGTTAATTAAGACGATTAATCGTTGTAATTCGACCTCGAAAGCCTTAATTTTATTTATTTTACGTCTTATGATTAATGCTCTTTATATTGTATTATAATTATATTAAATGTCTATATGGATATCACAGCAGCAACTTTGTTCGAACGAAATATCAAAATACATTAATTTATAAATGCATCAATTTTAGAGAAAGGCTGATATTAATAAGATGAGAAATAATAAAATTAATAAAAGCGCCAAATTAAAAGCAATTACACAAAGCATGCAAGTAGTTAGAGATAAGATGCGACCAAAAATTGGCAAGAAGACGAAGAAGAAGAAGAAGAAGAAGAAGATGAGGAAGAAGAAGAGGAAGAGGAAGAGGAAGAGGTAGAGGAAGAGGAAGAGGAAGAGGTAGAGGAAGAGGAAGAGGAAGAGGTAGAGGAAGAGGAAGAGGAAGAGGTAGAGGAAGAGGAAGAGGAAGAGGTAGAGGAAGAGGAAGAGGAAGAGGTAGAGGAAGAGGAAGAGGAAGAAGAGGAGGAAGAAGAAGAAGAAGAAGAAGATGAGGAAGAAGAAGAGGAAGAGGAAGAGGAAGAGGAAGAGGAAGAGGTAGAGGAAGAGGAAGAGGAAGAGGAAGAGGAAGAGGTAGATGAAGAGGAAGAGGAAGAGGAAGAGGAAGAGGAAGAAGAGGAGGAAGAAGAAGAAGAAGAATAAGAAGAAGGAGAAGAAGAAGAAGATGATGATGAAGAAGAAGAGGAAGAAGAAGAAGAAGAAGAAGAAGAAAAGAGATTGATAATCGTACCTTCTTGATTGAGTTGCTCGATGCGCTCAGACTTCCTTTCTAATTGATCTGTCAATCTCGAGGCCGCGCACAGGCATTCTTTAGCTTCTGTCAATTGATCCTTGAAAGAAATTTGTAAAATTTAATCTTTTTTTCAATGACAAAATAAGGGGAAATAAGGCAAAAGATATAAAAAATTTAAATAAAAACAAACTCTTAGATTCGTAATCTCATTGGAAAGATCCTCCTGTCTTTTAAAAGAATCCTGAAGCTGAGCGTGAAGTTTCTCTTTTGCAATTTGAATATCCTTTTCTTTATCTGAAATTGTAATTGCATTGGAATACATAGTAGTTTTTGAAAAAATTCGTTAAGAAAATTCTTTAATATAAAAATCTTTAAACAAATCAATTGTCAAATAATCGAATAACCATTATTAATTTATATTACTGTAATTTATTATAGAAATAATGTTTTTTTTTTTTTTTTTTTTTTTTTTTTTTTTTTTGAATTAAGTTACACACAATACTTAATAAACATCGCGTTGCAAATAATAGTAAAGAAACAATGTCTTAATCGCCAATTCCATCACACGAATGTGGTAAATATTAAAAAATTCTTTGATCTTCGTGTAAAGCACATTTTATTTAATTTTATATTGGCGAGAGTGAAGATATTTAAGGTAAATTTAAGCAAAATTAATAACGTGAAAATAGCGTAACGCACCTCTTTGAAATTGTTCCAAAACTAATTGTAAATTCGTGAGCGACGCCGTATAAGACAAAACTTTATCATCCGCGAATGAAATCTTATTTTGAAGATCATCTCTTTGTTGAACAATTAGTGCAAGCTGCTGTTGCAGAGTTTCCACCTGTTGATTGGCTCTTATACTGGCTGACGTATACATGGTCGAACTATTCTTCAACGTCTCTTCCACCTGCATCAGCCGCGATTCCAACTTCTTCTGTATTTCCTCGGATTGCAAGGCCTCTTCCATATAATTTGCCTCCATTTCAACAAGATGATTCCTCAACCTCTCGACTTCCTTTAGGGCGATTGCCTCCTTGCTTTGAGACTCGGTTAATTGCATCTGGAGATATCTGATGTTCGCCTGGTCTTGAATAATCGCAGCCTCCATTACTTTGTTCTTTTCCTCTAGAGAAGAAACTTGATTGCTCAACAGGGTGTGATCAGCGATGCCGCAACGATCCTCGTAATTATTTGACTTTTCGATATTTTGAAGTCTTTGCTTGATTACCTGCAGCTCGTTTTGCGCCCACAATAGCTGCTCCTCCTTCTCCTGTAATGTCGCCAAGCTCGCATCATTCTCCGCATTGAGCTTTTGCAGCTTAGTCGTTTGTTCGTGCAATAGTTGCGTAAGTCTCTGAATTTCCGAGTGATATTTAAGGCTTTCGTTGTGCTTCTCTTGCACAAGCTTAATGAGCTCCTCTCGCTCGTTATTTAATGTATTGAAGGACGAATTAATCTTAATTATTTCCTCGTCTTTCGAGCTTATTAATTGTGACAAGTTTTCGACCGTTTCCCGTGCCATTAAAGCCGACTCCTTATCTCTCGCAACCGTCGCTCTAAGACTCTCGATCTCTTTCGATTTCTCGCTCATTTCACTAAGAAGCTGCAAGTGCTCTTTATGGGTTAACGATGGGTCATCGATACGCGTATCTTCCGTCTCTAAAGAATCCGTATTAACCTCGGCATCGCATTTTTCCACCGATAATTTATTTAATTTCAATCTCAAGCTTTGATTCTCATCCCCGACAGTTTTCAACTGCTCGAGCTCAGTTTGATATTTTACAATTAATTCTTTGTGCGCATTGATTTCGGCGTCTCGTAACTTCTCTCGCGCACAATATCTTTCAATTTCTTCATTTGCTTTTTTATTCTCCTCCTGCAGGCACTCTATCGTCGGTAACGCATCTCTCAGCACTTTAATCTCATTCTCTAACGACGAAACATAATCATCGGTATACATTGTAGTATTATTAGCGGTGCGATTTTCATTTGAAATAATCTCCTGTCGCTCTTCAACATCTGCAATCACCTTTTGACACTTTGTATCAATACTCTTCCATCTTATAATATTGCTATCGATCTTCTCGTAAAGATTCATGAGAGTCACGAGTAGATCCTTAGTATCCTTCATTTCACTCGTATCGCCACCGCTGTTTGTTATCTCGCTAACATTATTCATCTCCGAGTGGATAGGTGCCTTGTCTATCTGCTGATTAGCGCATTCAATCTCTAATTTCATTTTCTCCATAATATCTATGATTTTTGATGATTCTTCGAGCTGACTTTTTAAAATCTCAATGGTGTAGTTTAGCTTGGTATTTTCATCGAAATCAGCTCGCAAGAAGTCATCGGTGTCCTTTATCTCGCCGCTTATCAATTTCCCTTCCGACCGTACCACGGACTTGGATATGTCAACATTATCACTTTCCTGGCTAACGATCTCGACGGAATCCAACCTCGTGTACACGTCCAATTCGGATTGATGCAGCGCTCGATTCCTTTCTTCCAAGCATTCAATCTCTTTCTCGAGTGAGAAAACGCGCCCTTCGCTCGCTTTCAGCTGATATGGTAAATCCTTCGTTCGTTCCATTTCCGTACACGAAGTCTCGATTTTTTCTTGCATATTTTCGCGATCCATCTCCATTGATTTGCGCACTTGTTGCATCTCCGTGAGCTCGGTATTTTGCTTGATAAATTGACATTCTAATGCTTCGTATCGTAACTTCAAATCGACAAACTCTTTCGCCAAGCTTATAAATATCGATTGGCTCTTATTATCGCTGGCAATCTTAAACGAAACATTATCAAGAATATCCACGACCTTTTTAATCTCGGCTTCGATACTCAAATTCTGATCAACTTCCAAATCAACTTCGGTCTGCTTGTCTTCCAAGTTCAAATACATTTCCGTTCCTTGGTCGATCTTGGAAAGTCCAGCTGTTTGGACAATAGAATCTGACGTCTCTTTAATCAATGACCTTTGAAGTTTAACTAATTCTTCCTCTTGTTCTTCCTTCCGATACTGAAGATTATCGAGTTTCGACAGAGCTTCGTTGTGCTCGACATACAAGCATTCGTACGCACTTTGAAGAGACTGATGCTTTCTCTGAATTTCTTCTTTTATTGCCAAGACACGTTCTAAAAACAAAAACAAACAAACAAACAAACAAAAAAACAAAAAATAAATAAATAAATAAACATTTTTAAAAACACAATTACTAAGTGAAAGTTACTTCAAACGATTGATATTTAATTCGTTAACATTTTTCTTAGAGCTTATTCAAGTTTTCTATGCATTTTGGAGATGACAAATCTCTATACAAATAAAACAAATTCTACAATAACGATACCATAATAATAGAATTTTAATTGAAAAGTACATTAATGAACGTAATCATACTCGTTAATATCAATGAATTTGTTTTAAGAAAAATAAGGATTACAGACGTTTAAGCGAGTATGTACTGTATAATGTATCAAAGATTAAAGACATTTTTATATTTGAAACTTTTTAACGACTGACTCGTTTATGCAGTAGTCTCGCATCAAATCATTTTATATACTTGTAAAATAATTATATCTATTAACCAATGCCTATCAAATATTCCATTAAAGTCCGTCGTGTTCGCGAATGGCCTGTAATCCATATTACAATAAAATCATTCTTTTCATTTTGCCTATGGCAAAGGATAGGGCCCTAATATAATTGAATAAGATTGTAAAATACCAATTGACGGCATTCTGCTTATCCAGCTCCTCCATGCTCATCGAGAGATTCTCATTTTCCGCTTCCAGCTCATCGATCTTTAGACGCAATTCATTCTCACGATCCTGTGCGGCCCTCATTTGCATTTTATCCCTGGTACAATGCAACTTGCCCCTCTCATCAAATTCTTCAGAATCAGACTTTTCGCCATCTGAAAGCTGTGGATCGTTCATTGTAAGCATTTCTTAACTATTATTTCTCAAGCACTTGAATAGTGATAAATGCAAAAAGAAAAAAAATAGAAGAAAAAAATCTCATCGTACGTTATCTGTGACATAACGTTTATTAAATAAAATTCCTTTTTCCATTTACTTTTATATACTGGCTTAGATTTATATTACACTCGGGTTTGTTAAGATTTACTATCAAGGCATAAGCAACGACAATTTTCTAATTGAATTAAATGAAAGAAAGCAACGTTATAAAGCCTTTATTATTAAAATGAATGCCAAGCCATTTCCACATTGGAAAAATGCATAAATTCAATCAAAATAATGCCATTAATAACAAACTTCGACTAACTTGGACTATTGCGTATTGCTTATAATAACACGAGAGACGTATCGCATATTATTTACAATCTGTTTTGCGTTTTCTCATAGCTTTTATTTCATAAGTATATACTTGAAGCATATAAAGATATAATTCGAAGGTTGTGTCTTTTAAATAACGCGTTGGCTCGTACTGCGTCGTTATAAACACATAGCGGAATATAATTCAGAGTACAATATCTTTTTTTTTTATTAAAAGAACATTTCATTTAAGATAAACACATAACAATTTCCTACATCGAATTTCCATATTATTCTGCTAGGCTAAAATTATCCTCTTGTCGACTTAACCATTCGTTACTCCTTAAAATAATAAACCACATGGAATAATTAATTATAGCCGAATATCGATTAATTAATAATATCTCAATATTCTCTATTAATGAGCTTGGGTGGTTGCGGAGACAAATAAGCAAATTTTTAATCGTTTGAAATCATTTTTATGCACTTTCACTTGTATTTTTCTACGCGTATATATGTAAAATTAATCTTGACAACTGTAACATTGGATCTTTACATTCACATAAATAAAAAAAAAAAAAAATATATATATATATAGCGAGTTTTTTTGTTGTTGTTTTTCCTTTGTTTTGTTTTATTTTGTCTTTCTTTTTTATTCTTACGAAGCATTTTGTTATAAATTTGTTTTAAAGTCTTGAAAAATTAATTATTCCGAAAATTTACTTTACTTATTATTAAATAGTTAATGTATTCTGAAGTTGTAACTAGTTAACTGCCACATCTTGGCAAAAGCTCATTGCGAAAGCGCGCTTTACCCTCAATAAAGCACGAAAACTCGAAAACTTGTAAAACTACATTGTTCCCTATCTGTAAATTTATTATTGATATTATATCGAATTTATTAGCATCCAGGATGATAAGATAAAGAGGCGATTCGAATCACATAACAGACACTACTCGCAATAACTGCACATCGTTATCAATGAATTTAGAAGCAATTATGTTGGGTTCAATTTAATAATATATCTTACGGTACGTAATGGCTTATCCGTCCTCTTTTATTAATTGAAAAATTTATTTAAACTTAATCCGCACAATATATGGATTTTTGTACATTTGTTTTCTATTTCCTTTTCTTTTCTTCAGCTCTATTGCCTTCAGACTGCAGAACAAAAAGTTACCCGCGTAAAACTTGATAATAATTCTCTAAAATCTCATTAAAGTTTCAAGTTATGTTTATATGAGAACAATTTTTATGACTCTGAGTTACTCAATCAAAGGATATAAAGTTTTTAAATACGAGGCCTAATTGCAATTATTGGTCGACAAGTTAATATAAATATAATAATTCAAGATGGAAAAATATTTTCAAATAAATATAGTCGACTTTTTGTGTTTTGTTTTTTTCTTTTTTTTTTTGCTTTCTTTGCTTTTATTGTTTGTTTATTTGTTTGTTTGTTTGTCTAGAGAATCATTGGCTTATTGAATCAAATAAAATGCAATATTTTCATTCTAACGTCAGTTCAATTTATAATTCAATAATGAAGCAAAGAAAAATTTACCTTTTCATTCGATTGTATAACGCTGTTCGTCAGATCCTGTTTCGCACGCAAGGCTTCCGACTTCTCTGCCGAAGGTCCTTCGTCTTTGAAATTTGCATCATCCTTCGCATTCGACGAGTTCAACTATAATCAAGTAATTTTAGTAACTAGAACGAACGTTCGACGAATAATGGAAGAATATTTGTGGAACGATGTCTAATAAAAGGCGCCAAAGACTTATTTTTAAGCGCCTAATGAGAAACTGTAAAGCTAAAATAATTATTAACTTAAGTATTGAAAATGAACTCATAATATGGACTAAACTTGAATTTGGATGCTTTAAAAATGAATTGGAACAAGGATTGTGAGCATCTGTGATATTACTCGCGTCTCATACTTTCGAGTTATAATCAAACTATTGCGTATTATTGAGAAATTCATAATGGTTAAATAAATTTATACTCGGGCCTCCGTCGACTTAATTTTAAGTCAATAGAAAAATTTGTGCCCTATGTATTCCTAGAATTTATTGAACTCATTTAATTTCTAAATTAATCAAATACTCTGTAAAGGCGTAGAATGCTGACTTTTTTTTTTTTTTTTTTTTTTTTTTTTTGCAAATAAAGAACGATAACGCGTCTAGAGACGGACTAGACGTTCAAAAAAAAATTAAATCGTAAAATAATTGCATAAAGACAGAGTCGTCGATAATTTGAATAATAAGGGCTTGCATTTACTACCTTTCGTAAGCTATCGAGTTGGAGTTGGAGTTCATGAATCCTCAAGGTGGCCTGACCCAACTGCTCCTGCAGCATTTTCGTTTGGGTTTTGGCATCCCGATTCTTCGGCGGCGGATCCCAAAAGAAAGCTCCGTCGTTCTCTTCCTCCTCCAACCCCGATCCATTATTTGCCTGCAAGAAAAAAGTAGAGGCAAAAAGTCGATATGAGCGTAAGAAAAGGGGAATTGTTTGTGAGTGTGAGTGTTCGCGTATATAATCGAAGCTCGGTTCGATTAATTCAAATCAGAAATTTAACCACATCGGGCTTTACGTAGTGTCAGATTTCTCACTTAAATTCATCGAACATAAAGACAGTATAATCGTGTTGCTGTAAGTAATTGAAGATTTTTTTTTTTAAATTATCTTTTAAGGCCAACTTATTAAACGACAATATCTCAATGTTAAACTAATAGAGTTTAATTTTTACAATTCCGATCGTGCAATTAGCATACGTTATTTTAATGATATAAAATTCTAATATTCCGGAGCTTATTGCATCTCCGTGTCTCCCTTATTGAAGAAACGTAATTACAAAATAACATAATTAGTCGTTTTTATGATGTCGTTTTCAAGGCGGAGCGTATGTATACGAAAGCCGGGAAAAATAACATTCACTCGATAATTATTTTACATGTAAACTTACATAGTCCTGAATGCAAACATATTGTTCTTACTTATCACAGTTTTATAACCTATTAAAATCTTTCCCCCCCCCCCTTTTCTTCCCTCTTTTTTTCTTTCATTTTCTTTTCTTTTCTTTTCCTTTTTCTTTTTACACAATGCATAAGAAGTATCGTAATTTTATGAAGCCTGTGCGTTGCGTCAAGACTTGCGAATAGTCTGTCCTACATTCTACATCGAGTGCGACTTTTATCAGCAGCATATTGGTTCCGTATCATTTTTAATGGCCATTAAGTAAAAATTGAATGATTATCGCCACGAGCGTTGGTAGCTCTGGATTTTCTTAGCGAGTGATCCATTAAGCCGGACGGACGAAGGAAGTAGAGACATTGGCTCGTCGTATCGGGCGTGGAAGTGACGGCTCTCGGCGCAAATAATAATCGCCTCGTCGATTTCTCGAGAGGAGCTCGCTCGGCCGGCAAAATCTCGGACGCCGCGGAGAAAACGGCGTCGCGCATAGGAAGGCCACGCCGGGAGGCAAGGAAAAATGCGCCAAGGCTCGAGCTGAAAAATCCGAGCGCACAATTGCATAAACGTTATTCTTAGTGTTTTGAGGACTCGGCTGGCGGCTTACGCGATCGGCGGGACTAAACTCGAAAAAGCAACGTCGGCAGGATGCACCTGCCGCGACGGTCTGTGATTAGTATGGAACGGGCCGCCGCAAGTATTGTTATGGAGGCCTTTTACATAAGAATTTCGTGCCGGGAACAATGCAGACGCGCATCGCGCGATGTAAGCACGCGATTGACTGGGGACGCGGTGCCCGGGGCCGGCAAAAGGGACCAGCGGCGATGGTGACCTGCACCCCCCTCCCACCGCCCCCAAGTAAGGGGTGGCTAATAGCAGTACTAGAGGCGCGTGGTAATACGAGATGATGAGAAGTGATTTTTAATTCTACTGATTGATTTGCTCGGCCATCGGCCAATTAGACATGACTTACTGACGCTAATTTTATGACTAATGTTGCTAATAATACGACTACCGTTGTTTGCAATTCGCGGACATGGAGTCGCTTGAGTCGCTTGAGACGCTTGAGTCGCTTTTAAAAACTAACTCGTGAGTCGTATTTTCACGATTCGCTTGATCGGTCTAGGCCAAAAGGTGGCACAAAAAAAAAAGCAGAGAGACAGAGACGAAAAAGAAACAAGGATATACGTTGCTCAATATCGAGAGCGTTCGTCGGGGAATACGGCGAGCTGAAATTTTTGCAATACTGGGCAAAATCGAGTGCCTCCTGTTCTGAAAAGACGAATGCATTGACGTTTACACATGATATAAGCAATTATTATTGCCAATCAAGTCTATGTAAAATAAGTAGAAACATAAATTAATAAAAATATCGTTATCTTAATTTTAGAAATCATAAAAATGCAATTGTCCATAACAATGTTTCTTGGTTATGTGGACGAAGGTGTGGCGAGACTTGGAAATAACTACAAAATAATTTTATAGTAGAAAGAAAAAATATTTTCAAATAGAGTTATAGAGTTATATATATATATAAACATTAAATTGTGAAGCATCGCTTATTGTACTTCAATTCATCCGCAGCGCTTATCTCGCCCGTTTAGATATTTGAGTTCAGCAGATAACAGGTAGCTTATTTTTTGAAAAAAAAAAAAAAAAAAAAAAAAAAAAAAAAAAAGAAAAAATCTCTCCGGATAATTCGTTGGTGGTGCTGAAAATTATTTTGAAAAAAATCGAGCACAGACGAATTGAATTAACGACATTCTCACAAAATCATCGCTATTTCACATTAATTTTTTCCTTTCTTTTCGCATTATACACTTATCGTACATTAATTTTTCATCACGACTTTATAAAACTTATGCAGAGGGTTTATTAAAAAATTGTACGCCATCAAGAATTTCTGTAAAGTCGCGTTCAGTGAATATCACTCTACTCCAGGAAAAACTGAAATTTTACTGATAAAGATGATCTCGGAGTAAACAGTGTAATCTCTTAAGCATTCATTATACAGAAAAGATACGTAAGCAATGTAACTTATCCAATCCTCTAACAGGAGCTTGGAATTCTAATTTATTTTCAACAATACAAGCCATACACGAGTGATATATCTAATAAATATGATACACTTGAAAAGCTTTTTGGTATTACCATATTGTTGTATCATCCGCTGTTAAGAAACAATAGTTTTGCGATACTTTTATTCAAAGGAACGTGAGAAAGGATATCGGTAGTACGCCAAGTGCGGTGGAAAAGGATAAGACCTGACCTATTATGAAAATGATTAAAGTTAGAGGTTGTATTTCACGTCAAAATAGTTACATAAACCTCGCGCCCTTGGTGTTGTGTGAATTTTTATAGCCCTAGTGTGCAAAAGTTCGTAAAGCGGCAAAACTACCCTCGGCGCATGTAACGACATTACAATTTTAATTTGCAATAATACATTTTTACAACACCATGATAAACTTTAAGCCGATAAGTTGAGTAATTGAATCAAATAGCTAAATTTCTTTTATATGACTGACAGGCCACGAATGAAGAAAAACTAATGGCTTGCTCACGAATATGGGAAAATAGTCGAGCCCGTCCATTTAATCGATTGTAAAAGAAACGAAGAAGAATAAGAAGAAGAAGAAGAAGAAGAAGAAGAACAGCAACAACAACAACAACAACAACATAATGGAACAATATATCGCGATAAGCATCCATCGATACATTTTTCACGCAACTAATTAAGTAAAAAAATTGTAATCTTCAAGTTTATACACAATTTGGCAGTGAAAAAATATCGGTTTTCATGTCCTTGACTCAAAACTGTACTTTTCAATCGAATCGCGAATTATTGATTAGTTATCGCTAAATTCACTCGCTTAATAATTAACAATATCTTTTAATTATATTGGAACGATATAATTGATACATACAATATTGATCATACAATATTGATATAATTGATATATTAAACTACTATTACTAATAATCATAATAATGTTTTATTAATGACTTATTCTCCGCTATTTTGTAATCACATTTTCCAAAATAATTTCCATCAAGTACTGTAATACGTCTAATGTCAATTGTCAATTGTTCGTAAACGTAAACCATATTTTTGGAACGTATGTATCAATCCTGCCTTTTCGCCCTTCAGTTTAAAAGAATGCCGCGGATAAACGAAAAATGATTTTATGATATTCAAATGGTGTGACTTCTATTAATCTTACATGGGTAAACGACTAATTAATAATAGTATTATGAAATTGTAACGAACGAAGGGTCGCTCGTCTTTTAAATCAAATTTTTATTCATTTAGAAAATGGGCAGTTCAAGAAACTGCAAATTTTATCGTTTGCTCATTTCTCTAGTTTTATGTATATGGAGAATTAAATATATGAAATATTGATTAGGTATGTCATTGTCGTAATACTGTAAAATCGCTAAAGTATGGTAATGAATATACACCTTTGTTCATTATTTATTTTTCGACATTAAAATTATAAATTTTGTTTTAGACTAGCGAGGATGACATTCTGACATTACGTGATTAAGAAAACGTTTTACCGATTGAAAATTTGCATTTACCGTTTCCGAAATTTACATGAGGTTTCAAACTTATGACATTTAAAATATTATAAGCTACCTACGGTCAATTTCCTATGCAATCGAAAGTTAAATATTTTAACTGAATCGAGTATTTCTAAATAATATCCTACGTTGAATATATTTCGTTCTGACTAAAGGAAATACTGTCTATTTGATTTTGAATAATTGTAAATGTTGAGCAAAAATGGAAAACGTTTTCATTTAATAATTTGATATTGAAATCTTTGAACTTGACATATTATAAGCTTACAATTGATAATGATAGCTCGGATTAACGAGACTCGGAACAGAATTCTAGATAAATAAGATATATTAATTTTTTATACGTTTTAGATACGACATTAGCAGCTTCAATTTCTTAAACTATATGATGTAATAAGAAAGAAACGAAAAAAAAAAAAAAAAAAAAAAAAAAAAAAAAAAAAAGAAAAAGAAAAAATTTCATTGTCTATTGGCACGAAGCGAGCATAATTTTATCATATCAAACAACTTTTATATCAATCATCGAACGAAAGTTAAACAACATCGACACGGTCAGAAAAGACGAACCCGTTTACATAAAATTCGAGACAAATTATAATATATATATAACGGATGCCACGTATCTAATAAAAACATATTTATTTTTGTCGGTTAAAGACTATAATGGTATAGAAGAAATTGATAGCCAGTTCTCGACTTTTATGGGATGGCCCGATGTGTACAACTGATTCATTCCCTTGGCAAACACGAGCGATGTCATTGAATAATTTTAGCTCCCCATACCCCAATGTAAAAACTATTAGAATATCAGATTTGACGTAGTAAGCTTTCGATGGCGTAGAAGCTAAAGCCAAATGAACACGTAAAAGAGCGAGGTAATTGGACGATATTAAAGATGGAAA